GAAGTGGGTGCCAGGAGCTTTTTGTTCGAGGCTGTGTCACTGTGTGCTGTATTCGGCGGAGGCACCCACCTGACCATCGCAGGTGAGTCTCCCCCTCTCCCTCCTCTCCGGTGTTGGCAGCGAACTCGGGCTGGACTTTTCTGTCCTTTCTGTCCTGACTGGGGCTGGGTCTCGACCCCTTTGGATGACTCCACCTTCACCCTTTGCTCTGGCCACTCCACCCCGTCTAGGCTGTTCCCTCTCGTCGGGCACTTTGTCTGGCAGGAGGGCTCCATCCCACTGACCCCTTCCTGCCCCTGCTCCTCCTCCTCCCTGAGACCCCGGCCTCACTCTCAGGGCCTGTTCTCCTCTGGACCCTCCATGTTCTGCTCCCTTGCGGCCTCTGGCCCCGGGGGCCTGGACACAGGGGGCTCTGGCTGGGCCACGGGAGCCACGGGATGTGGGAAGGATGCTCGGAAAGGCTCAGCGGTCTTGGCTTCAGCCTTCTCTGGGATCTGTCGGGGCCAGCGAGGGGCGAGGGAGGGGAGCCCTCGGTCTCAGGGCTTGGAGAGAAGGAGGAGGAGGCTGGACGGATGAGGGGCACAGGATGGAGGGAGCATCTCCTCTGACGAGGGGGCCCCAGGGAGCGGGCTCCCTCCACCTGCTCCAGGACAGGCGGGATGCCCCGGACAGACAGGGGTCGGACACTCAGGTCCAAAGGAGAGATATCAGAGCAGACAGCCGGGCTGGGGACTCCTCAGAGGGACACCTGACGGGGACAGGCCCTGCCAGGCAGACACAGGACCAAGGAGAGACAAATTCCCCACTAGAACCTCACAGGTCAGGAGGTCCTTCAGAACAGACCAGCCCCAGCCTCACACAGAACAGCCACCTCCCACATCCCATGGAAACCCTGCATCTCCTGGGGGCCCTGCAATCCAGCCCCGGGGCCGACACCCCCTCCACGCCCCGCAGCCCTAGGCGGCTCTCTGTGGGGAGAGGGTGGCGGCTGCAACGATGCTCTCACGGGGACTCTGGGCAAGAATCCCCTCCGTGAAAGGAAGGAGAGCCACAACCCAGGACACACAGACATCCTGTAGGAGGACACTGGGGATGGGGCCCTGGGAGCAGACCTCACACAGACAGATGCACAGGACAGAAAGATTGCCAAAGGAAACAGGACACCTTAAGGCTGATGGCAGCCAGCGCCAGGGGAGCAGAGGGTGGGATGGTGGCTTAGGAGGCATGTGAACCTGAGGGAGACGTGGCGCCCTGAGAGGAGCCCAGAACGGCCTAGACTCAGGCCCTGAGGTTCTCCCAACAGGAGGTGAGTGGCCCCACCCATCACCGACCTGACCTCAGGGAACAAGGGCCAGCCTGAGGCCCAGACCCTGGCCTTCAGGGACTGGTAGCCCACATCGTGGCTGAGGTCAGGACCTCCCGTCATGGACCCCAGACCTCTGACCTCCTGCCCCTCTCCCATCCTGCAGGTGGTCCCACGTCTACACCCTCGGTCTCTCTCTTCCCGCCCTCCTCTGAGGAGCTCAGCGCCAACAAGGCCACAGTGGTGTGTCTCATCAGTGACTTCTCCCCCAGCGGCCTGGAGGTGATCTGGAAGGTAAATGACGCTGTCACCACCGACGGCGTCCAGACCACCAGGTCCTCGAAACAGAGCAACGGCAAGTACGCGGCCAGCAGCTACCTGACGCGGACTTCCGCACAGTGGAAATCGTACAGCAGCGTCAGCTGCCAGGTCAAGCACCAAGGGAAAACCGTGGAGAAGAAACTGTCCCCCTCAGAGTGTCCTTAGGTCCCCGAGTCGCCCACACCCTCAGGGACCTGCTGTCACGGGACCCCTAAGGGGGTCGACCCTTCCCACTCCGACACCTCCTTCTCCCTCCGCCCAAATCCTTCTCAATAAAACATCCTCCTTCTCAATCAGACATCGTGCTCTGCTCCTTGCTGCTTGTTCACTGCGTTCTGCTCATTTCACTCACCCCCAAAGGTGAACCAGTTCCTTTGTTCTGGAAGGCTGGAGGGGGCATTCCTGATGGTTTCTGGTGGGATGTTTTCACGGTCACCCAGAAGCCCCCAGGGAACATGCTAGCACAGGGGAGTCGGGCCACGGCAGGAAAGCACGCCTGCCCGCCCTGGCCAGCCGCCACCGTGCTTCCTACCCTCGTGGGGACCATGTCGACCTGGGCTTGGCTTGGCCACAGGCTCGTCGCTTCCCACAGCCTCCCGAGCCTCGCCTCAGCTCCTGCCCTAAAAGCTTCAGCCTTCTCCTTAAGGAGGCCGTTCCTCCTCAAGAGCCCCTTTGTCCCTTAGAGGAAGGCCCCCCACCCCAATTCCATGGGTCCTTTGGTCCAGCCCTCATCCTGGCAATTCCCTGTCCTCACAGTCTACACCGTGTCCCCTTCCTCAGGGCCATCCTCATTTTCCGGCCTCCCCAGGGAGACTGCCCTGTGCCCCCTCCCCCAGACAATCCCTGTCACAATCTCTACAGGACCCTCGCTCCCTGGACCCTGTTCACACGCTCCCACACCCCTCCTGGGGTCTCCCCCTCCTCGTGTGTCACTCATGTCCCAGCTGTAATTAAGGACCGTGTGCCACAGGCCAGCTCTGCTCTCTCGAACTTCTCAGAGGCCAGCTCAACAATAACCCACAAGCACTCAGGGCCTGTGTCCATGGCTGTTCCATGGGCCTTTTCAATTCAAACTCAAGAATCAAGAGCCAGATTCGAGGATTCAGCCAGGGGTATATCTGTGCAGTGACTCCTGTTCCTGGGAGCTCTGAACTGGGTCTGAGACTACACAGACTCTAGGCCTAGGAGGCAGCACCGGATGCGGGATCAGAGTTACCAGAGAGACAGACACACTAGCCACACACACACTCACAAACACACGCTCATAGGATCTCGCTAACAAAGCCAGCATGAACACACACACACACACACACACGCACCACCTCCTGCAAACGTGGCCATGTTGGGCACGTCTCTAGGCCTCGGTGGCTTCCAGAATCCTCCCAAGAGCTCAGCTATGCAGAGGGCACAGGTGCCACCCTCCCTGGGAGGTACATGGCCTTTCTCACTCCTGCCACTATGACCTTCCCCAAACAAGCCGAGCCAGGGACACACAGCTCCTCGCAGGAATGGAGGGTTCCTGGGATATGAGGAGACTCTCCCACGTTCCCGCCTGACCCGGCACGACTGGGCATGGATGGCACCCCACCCCCGACGGGGGACAGTTGCAGGTGGGGAGGGGGCCCAACTCCCAGCCTCCCATCAGGCGACCAGCCCCCATGACAAGGAGGCTGGACTCTGGGCCTCCCATGCAGCTGCAGGGGGGCCTGGGGAAGTGGGTGCCAGGAGCGTTTTGTTCGAGGCTGTGTCACTGTGTGCTGTATTCGGCGGAGGCACCCACCTGACCATCGCAGGTGAGTCTCCCCCTCTCCCTCCTCTCCGGTGTTGGCAGCGAACTCGGGCTGGACTTTTCTGTCCTTTCTGTCCAGACTGGGGCTGGGGTCTCGACCCCTTTGGATGACTCCACCTTCACCCTTTGGTCTGGCCACTCTACCCCGTCTAGGCTGTTCCCTCTCGTCGGGCACTTTGTCTGGCAGGAGGGGTCTATCCCACTGCCCCCTCCTGCCCCTGCTCCTCCTCCCTGAGACCCCGGCCTCACTCTCAGGGCCTGTTCTCCTCTGGACCCTCCATGTTCTGCTCCCTCGCGGTCTCTGGCCCCGGGGGCCTGGGCACAGGGGGCTCTGGCTGGGCCACGGGAGCCACGGGATGTGGGAAGGATGCTCGGAAAGGCTCAGCGGTCTTGGCTTCAGCCTTCTCTGGGATCTGTCGGGGCCAGCGAGGGGCGAGGGAGGGGAGCCCTCGGTCTCAGGGCTTGGAGAGAAGGAGGAGGACGCTGGACGGATGAGGGGCACAGGATGGAGGGAGCATCTCCTCTGACGAGGGGGCCCCAGGGAGCGGGCTCCCTCCACCTGCTCCAGGACAGGCGGGATGCCCCGGACGAGACAGGGGTCGGGACACTCAGGTCCAAAGGAGAGATATCAGAGCAGACAGCCGGGCTGGGGACTCCTCAGAGGGACACCTGACGGGGACAGGCCCTGCCAGGCAGACACAGGACCAAGGAGAGACAAATTCCCCACTAGAACCTCACAGGTCAGGGAGGTCCTTCAGAACAGATGCAGCCCCAGCCTCACACAGAACAGCCACCTCCCACGGAAACCCCGCATCTCCTGGGGGCCCTGCAATCCAGCCCCGGGGCCGACACCCCCTCCACGCCCTGCAGCCCTAGGCCGCTCTCTGTGGGGAGAGGGTGGCGGCTGCAACGATGCTCTCATGGGGACTCTGGGCAAGAATCCCCTCCGTGAAAGGAAGGAGAGCCGCAACCCAGGACACACAGACATCCTGTAGGAGGACACTGGGGACGGGGCCCTGGGAGCAGACCTCACACAGACAGATGCACAGGACAGAAAGATTGCCAAAGGAAACAGGACACCTCAAGGCTGATGGCAGCCAGCGCCAGGGGAGCAGAGGGTGGGATGGTGGCTTAGAAGGCATGTGAACCTGAGGGAGACGTGGTGCCCTGAGAGGAGCCCAGAACGGCCTAGACTCAGGCCCTGAGGTTCTCCCAACAGGAGGTGAGTGGCCCCACCCATCACCGACCTGACCTCAGGGAACAAGGGCCAGCCTGAGGCCCAGACCCTGGCCTTCAGGGACCGGTAGCCCACATCGTGGCTGAGGTCAGGACCTCCCGTCATGGACCCCAGACCTCTGACCTCCTGCCCCTCTCCCATCCTGCAGGTGGTCCCACGTCTGCACCCTCGGTCTCTCTCTTCCCGCCCTCCTCTGAGGAGCTCAGCGCCAACAAGGCCACAGTGGTGTGTCTCATCAGTGACTTCTCCCCCAGCGACTTGACGGTGAGCTGGAAGGTAAATGGCACCGCCACCACCCAGGGCGTCCAGACCACCAGGCCCTCGAAACAGAGCAACGGCAAGTACGCGGCCAGCAGCTACCTGACGCGGACTTCCGCACAGTGGAAATCGTACAGCAGTGTCAGCTGCCAGGTCACGCACCAAGGGAAAACCGTGGAGAAGAAACTGTCCCCCTCAGATTGTCCTTAGGTCCCCGAGTCGCCCACACCCTCAGGGACCTGCTGTCACGGGACCCCTAAGGGGGTCGACCCTTCCCACTCCGACACCTCCTTCTCCCTCCGCCCAAATCCTTCTCAATAAAACATCCTCCTTCTCAATCAGACATCGTGCTCTGCTCCTTGCTGCTTGTTCACTGCGTTCTGCTCATTTCACTCACCCTCAAAGGTGAACCAGTTCCTTTGTTCTGGAAGGCTGCAGGGGGCATTCCTGATGGTTTCTGGTGGGATGTTTTCACGGTCACCCAGAAGGCCCCAGGGAACATGCTAGCACAGGGGAGTCTGGCCACGGCACGAAAGCACGCCTGCCCACCCTGGCCAGCCGCCACCGTGCTTCCTACCCTCGTGGGGACCATGTCGACCTGGGCTTGGCTTGGCCACAGGCTCGTCGCTTCCCACAGCCTCCCGAGCCTCGTCTCAGCTCCTGCCCTAAAAGCTTCAGCCTTCTCCTTAAGGATGCCGTTCCTCCTCAAGAGCCCCTTTGTCCCTTAGAGGAAGGCCCCCCACCCCAATTCCATGGGTCCTTTGGTCCAGCCCTCATCCTGGCAATTCCCTGTCCTCACAGTCTACACCATGTCCCCTTCCTCAGGGCCATCCTCATTTTCCGGCCTCCCCAGGGACACTGCCCTGTGCCCCCTCCCCCAGACCATCCCTGTCACAATCTCTACAGGACCCTCGCTCCCTGGACCCTGTTCACACGCTCCCACACCCCTCCTGGGGTCTCCCCCTCCTCGTGTGTCACTCATGTCCCAGCTGTAATTAAGGACCGTGTGCCACAGGCCAGCTCTGCTCTCTCGAACTTCTCAGAGGCCAGCTCAACAATAACCCACAAGCACTCAGGGCCTGTGTCCATGGGTGTTTGATGCGCCTCTTCAGTTCAGTGTCGGGAACCTGATTCTAGGATTAAGCCATTGGCTTATCTGTGAACTGATTCATCTGCTTAGGAACTGTAGTAGGATCTGAGACCAGATAGACTACAGGTGTAGAAGCTAACGTTGAATCGTGGATCAGAGTCATTACATAGACAGTCACCCTAGACAGACACACACTCACAGGAACTGACTAGTATAAACTGGCATTCACACGCACAACACACACACACACATACACACACACATGCACCACCTATTGCAAACGTAGCCATGTTGGGCACGACTCTAGGACTCAGTGGCTTCCAGAAGCCTCCAATGGAATCAAGTCTGCAGAGGACATAGACTTCCTCATCCCTTTTGTACACGGCTTTTCTCACTCCTGCCCCTATGACCTTCCCCAAACAAGCCGAGCCAGGGACACACAGCTCCACTCAGGAATGGAGGGTTCCTGGGATATGATGGGACTCTCCCACATTCCCTCCTGACCCGGCACAACTGGGCATGGATGGCACCTCACCCCCCGATTGGGTACAGTTGCAGGTAGGGAGGGGGCCCCCCTCCCACCCTCCCATCAGGCGACCAGCCCCCATGACAAGGAGGCTGGACTCTGGGCCTCCCGTGCAGCTGCAGGGGGGCCTGAGGGGTGGGTGACAGGAGGTTTGTGTTCGAGGCTGTGTCACTGTGTGCTGTGTTCAGCGGAGGCACCCACCTTATGCTCCAAGGTGAGTCTCCCTCTCTCCTTCCTCTTTGGGGTCTGCACTGAAATCGAGGGCTTTTTTCTTCCTTTGTTTCCTGACTTGGGTTGAGGTAGGACTCTCTGGGCCTGTAACCCTCATTCTTTTAGAATGTCCCTTCACTTTAGCCTTTCACTCTTCTCTGACCCCTGGAGCGGACATCATGAGACAATCCCCGTGACCCCTTCCTGCTCTCTCCTTTTGGCCCTGAGCTCTCTCTTCAGAGGAGCTCCTTCTCTGGACTCTGGGGCTGAAGTCATCTTCATTTTCCCTGGAGGGGTAGTTCCACTCTTGCCCATTATGCCCAGAGAATATTCCAGAACAGGAGATTAGGGTAGCAGAGCCCAGGATAACCACCCTACACACTTTCCCTATATTCGCTATTCTTTTGTGGACCATGTCCACCTCCAGCCATCCTGGGGCCCACTCATGGTCTCCAGGATGACGTCTGAGCTCCTCCTCGGAATCATGGGTCCTCACAGTCTGGTAATGTGGGACAAGAATCCCCCTCCTTGAAAGGGAGGAGAGCCTGAAACCAATATGGATGGACATCCTGTATGAAGACACGGGGGAGACGGATCTGGAGGGAGATCTTCAGGCAGACAGATGCCCCAGGACAGACAGATTCCCCAAGGAAAGATGAGACCTCAAGGCTGATGCCAGCCAGCGCCAAGGGAGCAGAGCGTGGGAGGAGGAATTATGAAGACGTGTGAGCCTGAAGAGACAGAGGCCAAAGAGAGCACCCAAACTCCCCAGGTTAGGGCCTGAGATGTTCCCCATTGGACCCGAAAGGGATCTCCCTGGGCCCCACTCTAGTCATCCCCAGCCCTTCTCCCTGCACCCGATAAACTCCCAGTAAATGTCCTTTCATCAGTCAGAAATCATGCTCTCTGCTCATTTTTTTCTTGTCTCATATTTAATTTGCAGTCTCTCCAGGATTCTCGCAGTGGGCTGGGGGAATCCTTGGCACCCAGTGGGAAAGTAACCCAAGCGGAGAGGCTCACAGTCCCCCAGGGGCATCTCCCAGGAAACCAGCCAGGACATGAGAAGTCCAGTCACCGAACATCAGTCCCTCTGCTCTCTCCTTCCTCCTGTTCCTCTTCCATCACAGGGCTGTGCCCACTCCTTGCCACCTCCCTGGTTGGAGCTGTCCATGGCCAATAGCCTCTAGATAAGTCTCGCTCTCTGCCCCAGTTGGGACCCTCTACATCCTCCTGTCCTCTCTTTCCTCAGCCTGGAGTCCCTGTTCTGGCCTGGACCCCCTCTGTTCCTGGCCCTCTCTCCTTGGGATGCCCTCCTCCCTTCCCAGCTCAGCTCTTGTCTACCCTCACCCCTCCCTGTTACTGCCAAGGGCTGGACCATCCATGGGGTCCAGGACACTCCAGCAGCTTCCTGGGCTCTTAAATCCGGGACCCATCTCAATTCCTCACCCGATGGCAGGTTCAGAGATGTAAGAGGACTTGGAGGAAGCCAGGAAGGAAACTGTCACACAAAAGCCCTGCCAGGAGGCTCACCACTTGACAAAGATAAGCTCTGAGCTCCCCAGGAACCCACGCAAGGAGGGAAATAGGTACCCCATAATGTCTCTGAAATTACGCAAAGCCTTTGCTGGAGGGAAACTGGTGTCTCAATGCAGAGGCCAGGCATCTTGTACCACAGTTAACAGTGGGGACATGTTTCATCCGAGGCCTTAGCATTGACGGGAATTGGGCTCTGACATGCACAGTGATCACCTGGCAGCCTCAGGACATGGCAATGACCACGGAGCTGGTAGAGCTGCCCCCGCATGGGGAGCCCCCTGTGTTCCTGCCTCCAGAACCACAAGCTCGTCATCACCGGGTGGGTGGCAGTTTACATAGTTACCATCCTCTGATTTGTCCAGGGGGGTCCAGCCGGGCAACCTCCTGCCCGTGGATCCAGGGTGGACCCTTGGTACAAAGTCCCACCATCCTGCACACACCACAAACCCAAGGCTGCTCTCACCCTATCTGATACCCGCTTTGGGTGTCCCAGACCCCTGAGCTGTTCCCGCACCCCAGCCACAGCTCTGCCAAAAAGAGGGCAGATGTGGCACGAAATGTCACCTGTCACTTTCCCGGGGGTGGGGGGCATTATTTATCGGGAACCATCTCTGTTCGATCATGGATGTCAGTCCCGTTTAGGCTTCCTGTGATGCCGTGAGGCTCCTAGGGTCTGGGGGTGCCAGTAGCCCTCTGAGGAGGAGGGGTGCGATGACAGAACCTGGCCCCGGCCCCACCCAGCCCTTCATGTTGAGTCCCTGGGTCCCGGCTTCTCCACCGCACTTTGGGGGTTTGGGGACCATGGCAGCAGGTCAGGCTCATGTCCCCAGGGGTAATGGGCCATCCAAGAGCCACGCTGAGTGTTTTCAGTGAGTCTCTCCCTTGTCTCCTGCGTCAGTTTCCTGTGGCTGCTGTGACAAATCACCACACACTTGGTGGTTAAAACAACACGCATTCACTCGCTCACAGGTCTGAGGTCAGAAGTCCAAAATGAGCCCACTGCTGAAATCAAGGAGTTGGCAGGCTGCCCCCGTGGCAGCTCCAGGGAGAACCTGCTCCCTGGCATTTTCCAGCTTCTAGAGGTGCCAGTTTCCTTGGCTTGTGGCCCCTCCCTGCAACTTCACGGTCCCAAGGCAGCATCTTCAGTCTGTCCCTTTCTCTCCACCTCTGCTTCCATCGCCACATCTCCTTCTGTCACTCTGACCCTCCCATCTCATCTTTGCCTTAGAAAGACCCCACATGCAGCCCACCCAGATGATCCAGGGTAATCTCCCCATCTCGGGGTCCTTAACTCCCTCACATACGCACAATCCTTGTGGCCACATAAGGGACCCTGTCCACAAGTTCTGGGGGTTAGGATGTGTACACCCTCGGGGGGCTTATTTGCAGACCACAGCCCCATTGCCCAGATCCTGGGACTAGAGACACCTTCTCCCACGTTCCTCCCCCTCTGCGTCCTGCCAAGTCCCCAGTCCAGGCCACTCCTGGGGGCCTCCCCAGCCCAGGCCCAGCCCTCCTTTGTCCCCAGTCTCCTGGGGCCCCTTCTCCTCCTGGGGTCACAGGGAGGGGACTTGGATTTTAGCTTCAGCTTGGGGCCTTTCTACCCGCTGACCCCTCAGCTAACTGCTCTCCAGGCCTTCATTCTCGGTCATCAAAGCACCCTTGGAGGAAGATCTTACTCAGATCTTAATAGTATAGATGGGGACCCCAAGGCCCAGAGACCCTGAGTGACCTGCTCGAGGTTACAGCAGGAACTGGAACCCGGGCCACTCAACTCCAGATCTCAGCTCCTGACCCTGGGTTCCCACTAGGCCCTCCTAATTAGTCTCGCTTGGACTAATGGAGGGCTCCGAGCCCCCCTGGACCCAGGCCACCCTGTCCTGGGACCCATAGCCTGAGGGGACAGAGCTGTTGGGGTCGAGGAGAGACGGAGGAGGACAGGGGACTCGGCTCTGAATAGCTGGGCTCCTCAGGCTCCTTC